AGGAAGGAAGGAAGGAAGGAAGGAAGGGCAGTCAGATGACCTGCAGCCAACTGGCCCTTGCCCACGGGAGTCTGGCTGGGACCTGCAGCTGTCAGACTGTCTTGGCTTGGTCACACAAAGAATTCGCCATGGTCGATCCGCCGGGGAAAGAGAGTCATCACCCAGCTGTTACCCCTTGGCCCACCTCACACCAGCACCACTCACTTGCTGCCGCTGCCCCCGCCACTGCCCCCACCAGCTTTCTTCGACTTCTTCAGCTGGACTTGGGGAGCACGGCCCTCCTCATCTCCTGCTTTAACTTTGCGCTTCTCTGACTTTTTCTTCTTCTTTTTCTCCTTCTTGTCACGCTTCTTCTTGGGCTTAGAAACAGGTCCCTGGGAGAGGGCTGCAAGCTGCTCGTGCACTGCCCGCAGCTGGAGAAAAAAATGGGAGGTACGGAGATCGCCAATGGCCCCTCTGTCCCACCGCACAAAGGCTGGCGGTGGGGGGGGGCATGACACAGGACCTGCCTCATCCCCTCTTTCACCTCCAACCCGGTAGGGCAGAGTCAGTGGCCCCCTCACCTGTTCCTGCAGCTCAGCTAGCCGATTAGCTCGCTCCTCCTCAGAATCTGAACTCTCCTCCTCAGTGTCTGATGAGCTCTCGCTGCTGCTCTCATCTTCGTCCCCCTCTTCCTCTTCCTCCTCCTCTTCTTCCTCCTCACTAGAGGAGTCATCTGTGGAGGATTTCATCAGAAGCCCTGGCTGTGGGAGTGATGTGGAGGGGGGGTTGATGTCGAGGGGTTCATCAGGCATCTTGGCATAGCTGAACTCAAAGACATCCTGCAGGAGGGTCATGGAGACACTAGCCTTATTACTCTGACACCAGGATTGGGGTGGGGTGGGGTGGGGTGGGGGGGAGAGGAAGCTCCCACTCAAATTCTCTCTGCTCACCTGCAGCTTACGAGCCATAGCCACCACATCGTGGTCAGGAGGGTTGTACTTGTAGCAGTTGGAGAACATCAGCCGCACGTCAGAAGCAAACTCCTGCGCGTCATGATATTCCCGGTTCTCCATCTTGCGCTGAACCCACAGGACAAAGTTAAGGAAAACAAAATGAATAGAATGCCATAAAGGCACAAAATCCAGAGCTTGCAACACACAAAATAGGATAATACAATCTCCGGCAACAACCCCCCTCACGTGACTGATTTAATTCCCAATTTCAGTCTGAGAACATTGCAGAAGACCTCACTAGCCTCCAGCAAGTTACGTGGCAGGCGTGCAAGTACGCCTTCCGCTTCTCCCAGGGAGCCATGCCCTTTTCCCCATTGCCTCCACTTCACAGACACATCATGTCATGCTTACTCATATGTCAGCCTGACCTTTCTATTGCTCCTCCACTGCCCGCAGCTACAGAATCCATCACTTCCATGCCCTAGTGCACCACTGACTGAACTACTTGAAACCGGTGCTATCGACTCAAGTAGTTTTTTCTCAGACGTGGATACATATATATATTTCATATTTGTCAAGGGGCTAAGTACACAAAATCAAACAGAACCGCAGACTTTTCAGAAATGCTTTTTACTGTTGAAGCTGTAACAAGAGAACTTCAGCGGCCTGTTCATTTGTTTACCTCATCAAAACAAAACCATCGTCTGAGCTCCTTTCCTAGGCCTGAATAACCTTTTCCGAACCTCCTCTCTTCATTGTTTGTTTCTCCCTTTCCCATTCCCAGGGCCAGGTTTTACATTCTATCGCAGCGACACAGAAACAAATTAGAATTTTGCCTAAGTGTAGGCTGAAGACAAATGGAGTAAGTAAAAATAGGACGGTTTTATGGGCAGAAAAGCACAACTCCTTTAGAGAGTTTCCTCTCCACCCAACCCAGAGCAGCAAGGTAGAAACACGGAAAAGCCAGCCATCAGGATCTGTACCAGCCCCTCCGCAGATCTGTCACCGCACTCCCCCCCGAGGAGAGATCCACTGTTGCATCCGGAGCCATCGCTGCCTGCCCTGCTGTCGCCTGGGCTCCCCTGCTCTACCTGGTGCGTCAAAGCATTCAGCTTCCCATCCTCCCCACTCCGACCTACCTTAATGCTACTGAGATCCATGGGATGCTTAATGATCTCGTGGTAGTCATGGAGACCCAGCGCAGAGGCATCAACTGGCTTGTAGAAGGGCCAAGCATAGGCTGCGTGCTTCTTGGAGACGAGCTCCTTGAGGATGCCGTTACAGTACTTGAGCTGCTCGGAGAGCTTGCCCCTCTTGGACGTCTGGTGCTGCTGCGAGTCCGGCAGGTCTTTCCGGGGGGGCTTGATGGGGCGCCCGCTCTCCCGCCGGGCAGGAATCTTGGCTGCCTTAGTCTCCAAGATGGCAGCAGAGGGAGAAGACTCCCCCCCGCTGGTGGCAATGATGGCCGTAGGAGTAGGAGTAGTGGTATCTGCTTTCCGCTTTACGCCTTTCTTCTGCGGATGGCAGCAAACAGCTTGCGAGTTCCCAGTTAGCCAGAGCACGCTCCAACTGGAGATACTGGCAGGACCCCACACTGCTCTTCCTAAGGGGAGGGTGCGAAGACCACCCTCCCCTTAGCCACCACAGCCACCCATTGGACTTCCTACCCACCCCCAGCACCCACGTTGCACTCCAAGCTCACCTTGGTCACAGGCTGCGTGGGTGCAGGCACGGCCAGCACCGGCTGGGAGGCAGCAGTGGAGTGCAGCGGCTTCAGGAGAGGGGCGGAGATGACAGATGGGTGGGGGATGCTGATGATCGTAGTGGGTATGTCTGTGCCAGTGGAGAACAACCCAGTGTGGGACACCGAAGAGATGGCTGGAACCTGCTGGGCAGCGGCGCTGGCGGCTGCCAGGAGCGCTGGGGAACAAGATCACCGCAGACTAGCAGGAGCAACCTCAGAAGATTTAACATGGTGGGGGCTCATCACTACGGCCGCTTCCCAAACCAGGAGGGCTGCACCGACAGCAACCCTGCAAAGCCCCCCACCCCCCTGCAAGGCACACAAGGTCCACAATTCCCTTCGGCTGCTCCCCCTGCCGAGCCCAAGGCCTGCATTCTAAGGCACGCCTGGAGCCTGGAATTTTGTGCCGCGTTACCTGCTGCCCGAGATGCTCCCTTCTTGTGGCTATTCTTTGCCACAGTGATGACAATCTCCTGCTCCTCCTGAGGCATCTGGGCCACTTTCTGCAGAAAGATCTTCTCCAGCGTTTGGGCCATCAGCACAATGTCGTCTGTTGGCTACAATGAGCAAGAATCAGCAAAAAACCAGGTGAGACAGATGCCTGAAGCTCTGCAAGCAGATGCCGTTACCAACTCATTTCAATCTCGCTTTCCTACCTAGCCTGTTAAAAACTGAGTTCAAAACACAGAACTCAAGTTAAAAAGAAGTCAACGCTAAACACGCTAAAGCAACTGTACAACTGAACGAAGTCTCCAGGAACAGCAGTGCCGACAGAGGTTTCCTAAAACAGTTTCCCAACTGTGGCAACTCCCAAGTGGGTGGACTTCAAATCCCAGAACTCCACAGCCAGCACAGCCATTTCTGGCAGTCCACGCCCATGAAGCTGTCGTTCTTGTTCTAATGATGGCAGTGGAAGTAAACCCAATTCCCACATTGGTTGAACCAGATCTTTTCCATGTGATAGAAAAACAGACCTCCGTGAATCCATATTTGTAGTAGCTTCATTTGCTTGGATCGTTATCACCCCAGTCACTATTGACTGCTACCATCCTTGGCTTTGAAGGAACTTCAGGAACTCTCCATCCAGCCCAACAGGTGAACCGCATCCAATCTCACCTTGTTGTAGATGTAGCAATTGGTGAACATTGTGTTGAAGTCTTGCATGCATTCAGCAGAACTCCAGTAGTAGCTGTTCTCCAGCCGCCGCTTAATGGTGCCCATGTCCATTGGCTGCTTGATGATCTTGTGGTAGTCCTGGAGACAGAGAGGGGCAAGTAGAGCCAGGGCATCAGGGACACAGAAGCTCACACGGCAAGACACCCATCTCCTCGGGGGCCAGGCCACGCAAGCAGCAGCAGTCCACAGCGTCCAGCCCACTGCCTAAACAACCTTACAATTAAACAGCCCCGCCGCAAGACACAATGTGGATGGGCGCCCCGCCCGGGTCTTTTAAAGCTGATGAGAGTCCGGCAAAACGCAAGGAAAACACAACCATGGAGGAAGCCCGCTCTCCTTGATGACATCTAAGGCCTCTATCTGAAAAAGTTCCCCCAAGGACCACCCTGCTCGAAAGGCCTGTGCTGCCTCCAATACGTAAGCTCAGCGTCCCCGCTGCGCGTAAACAAGCTGACGAGCATAAACCTAGACAGATTTTACCTCTGGGCTTTAACTCCTTAGGTGCCGACCGTTAATTTGGGGGCCGCTTGATGTCTTCTACAAAGTCATGGATGGGAATCTGCAAAATGCATTCAGGTCACAAGAGATTAGATAGGGAATGGTGCAAAAGTAGCTGCATCGTCTCATCCATACCTTTGTAGGGACACAAGGAAGGACTGGCTGCCACCTCTAGGGCCCTTGTAGGGTTTTTAGCGGGGAGACACCACCAAGGCCCCAACGTGGACTGAGCAGAAACCAGCAAGGACCCTGACTAACTGCAGTTCCGCCACAGGCAATTAAATCCAGGCGGAACCCAAGACACAGCCTGAGAGAAAGAGCCCCTGCAGCGCAGCTGGGAAAGCCAGAGGACCACTCCTGCCACCCCCCCGCCTGCCTCAGCCAACAGCCACGAGGGAAGCGGAGCTCCTGGGACGGGACGGGCCAGAAGCCACTCAACAACCAGGACGCGCGCAGCGACGCCCCCCGCAAGGGAAAGAAGGCTGGTTACCGGAAGACCCAGCTTGACTGCGTCCACCGGCTGGCGGAAGGGCCAGGCGAACTGGTGTTTCCAGAGCGCTTTCATCACCACCTTGTGGAGGTACTGCAGCTGGTTGGTCACCCGGCCGGGCTTCTTGGGGTTAGAGACCTCAGGAGGGGGCGGGTTGGCGGGGGCCAGCTGGAGGGCCGGGACAGACGCCATGGTGGGGCTCTCAAACCCCTCGTAGAGCAGCGACGGCTTGCGGATCCGCTTCCCTGGCGTGGACTCCACAGCCAGGCCCACGAGACCGGCATTGCCCTCGCCAAGCAGCCTGCAAAACAGGGGCACAGGCCGCCTAAGACAGGCCCTTGCGGGGGAGGACCGCGGCCGGCGGCCCGGCAGG